CAAGGAAGACAATGGGAAGCCCCCGTCCTCCGCCCCGTCCCGGCCCAGACCCCCGCGGAGGAAGCGGAGAGAGTCCACCTCGGCCGAAGAGGACATCATTGATGGATTTGCCATGACCAGCTTTGTCACTTTTGAAGCGCTGGAGGTAAGGGGGGTCCCCTCCCCCTGGCTTTCCTTTATGCACGACCCCATTTCGCTATGCCCGGCTCGGGAGCTTCACCCACTGTGCTCCGGCCGGTCTGTCTGTCTGTCTAGGCTGAGATCTTATTGTTGGGGGGAGAACTGGGGGCGCGGACAGACAGGCGGCAGGAGGGCATCACCAAGCCCTGCCTGGTCTCCGGGTCTCCTCGTTTTCGCTCGCCTTTCCCCTGCGCCCCCTCCACAGCAGATGGGCATGGAGAAAGGGGTTCAGGCATCACAACAATGCGCCCCCCTCCACGGGTAGCTCTGCCCCTACTCCTTCCTCCTCTCCCTCCCCAATCATGGCTTCTTAGCTGGTGGAAGTCTCTTTGCTGGGTTTGGGGCGCCTGTGGACGGTTCTCTGTGTGCTTTCGACAGAGCCCTATGTGCTTGTGTGTGTGTGTGTCTGTGTAGTGTATACCTTTCCTGGGTGTCCTCGGAACTGGATACTAACGGGTGTTTTGTGGTTTCTCTGTCCCCTCTCCCTGCCTTTTTTTTTTTTCCTTCTGGTGAAGCTGGGGAAGGGGGCGTTTTCTCCTGGTTGGGAGAAAGGAGGGAGGAGGGGAGAGCAGAGAGGAAAGGATGGAATATCTTTCTGTATTCCCCATGGGGCTCTGTTACAGAAAGGGTTAATTATAATATTTGTGCACATATATATGCACATGTGTGTACATGAGCAATTTGGTTAAAGGACAGAAAAGGTACACCAGGGACGACTGGTGGGAGGAAAGAATAAAATCCGAGCTGGTATCTGAAGGGCTTGTCACCCAATTGTCCCTCTCCCTTTGCGTGTGTGTGTGTGTGTGTGTGTTTTCTTTTCTCTCTTTTTTCTTTCTGATTGGCTTTGTGTTATATATAAGTCTTTATTCCTTGGGTACCTGCAGTGTTGATTTCCAAACGCACATTTTGCTGCCCTCTAACCAGCTTCTGGGGAAGAGGGTGGGTAGTTAGAGGTAGACTGCCCAGGGGTCAGGGGGAAACAGCCTTTACCTGGAAGAATCAGATTTGGTGCTGGTATGGGTCATTGGTCTCTATAAATGTAACCCCCTTTTTTCCCTCCCCCTGCCTTGCTTTCCCCACCCCCAACACACCACACACACAGGAGGCTTTGAGATTCTGCAGAGTTGGTCCAGCTTTGGTTAAGCACAAAATCAAGATAGTTGGTTTCTAGCCTGTCATGCACTTGGTATGGTTAAAGGTTCCTGAAGGAAACTTTTTCATTTCCCTTTGGTTTTGTGCTGTTATTATGGTATTATTTGAGATGATCAAATGCAAGCTTAGTTAATGACAGCTTAAATCTCACATGCAGTAACTGTACAGGTTGAGATTGCTGGTTCTCTCTGTGTGTTTGGGTGTCAGGTTTAATATATTTTTGAACAGAAGCCTTCCTTTGGGGTTGTTTTTTTCTATTTGAACTGCTTTTTGGTTGGGCTGCTGGTGGTGATGGTGGTGGTGGATGGTGGCCAGTGGTTGGGGAGGAAGGGAGGGTGGTTGGTGGTATTAGTGACCATAGATTTTGATGTTAGTGATTGAATCTGTTACCCTTTTGGTTCTAGAACCTGTGCTTTATTGGCTAAAATGGATTGTACACAATCGTTTTGAGTGTTGAGGCTCACCACTTATTAGGATAATTCTAACTGTGGCTTCAACTTTGCCAAGGTGGGAGGGTACTGTACAGTGTGACCTCTTTCTCTCTGTTTCTCTGTTGATTTAAAATAGGGATTGACATAGCAGCATGTATGCTAATAGAAAATGCTGCCTAGAATTTGGTTCATGATTGCTATGTGTGGTTAGTTTAGGACAGTACTTGTAAAATCTGGTTACAAGTGGTTCTGCGTTTTGCACGGTTATCCTGGGCTGCCCCGTGTCCCCTTTCAGTAAGCCAGAGGGATCTGTAGTTTCCCATGAACATTTTTGGAGGCCAAGTAGAAATAGGTGTAACTTACCCAGTACTTTTAAAAATCATTGTTACTTTTGATAAATATTTGCCTGGGCTTGTGATGTGTATATCTATTCATTTGGCATTTGAGAGAAAATGTGCCCTTCCAGTTTCTTTTGGGCTTGAAAAACTTTTAATTTTTAAAGAAGACCAAGTTCAAAGTGTACTGTTAACACCATTACTTTTCTTGCTGTGATTATCTTTTTTTTCCTGCTACTTTTCTCAATTCAAAACCCAGGTTATTTTTAGCTGAATACTATGCTACCTTAATATCTAAATACAGTTTACACATCTGTGTGTGGGTCTAAACGGTCTAACATTTAAAAAAGTTTTCTTAAAACTTTATAGAAAATTTAAACATATACAAAAGTAGAGAGAACAGTTTGATAAACCCCAATGTACCCAACACCCAGGTCACCAACTGCCAGCTCATGTCTCATCTTGTTTCATCTGTATCCCATGTACTCAACCTCCCCTCCTAGATGTGATATGAGAAATATATAAATATTTCTGTATGTATCTGGAAATGGTAATGACTTTAAAAAGCACCAAAACCCCCACAGTACCATTATCACACCTAAATAAACGAGTTTCCTAATATCATCAAATATCCTGTCAGTGTTCACATGTAAAAGATCCAGCTTTTGTAGAAAAGGTGTAAATTTTTCAGATTAAAAAAAAGTGGGGAATAAAAATAATGTGTGTTTGGTTCTATGGACAAAGGTAGATCTCTTTGCTGCACATTTGTGTCCAGGCTGGATGGTCAAACATAAGTGTGCAGTGATCATGAAGATAAAACCTATGTATGTACTCATTTTGGAAGATTTACTCAACTATCACCATAAAATGTGAGGGCTTATTAGGAAACAGGCAACTAAACTATGAAGTTGGATAGAAATGTATGTGACAGAATTATTATAGATGCTAAGAGTACCCTAAATATATATTATTTTTTGTGTGCCTTGTGTTTAGAAATGAAAACAGTTGTCACCATGTAACATTGAGGCTGCTGCTAGTGTTGTGATAAGAAACCAGAAATATTGGCTTATACAGCTAGGCTTGTATCTCATGCCAGTTCAGAGCAATAGCTGGCAAACTGGAGTAGCATACTTTGGATGTTAATGGATGGACACATTGATTTTTGACTCCCACTTTAAAAAAAGAGGCTCCTGACTCAAAATGAAATGTGCTGATATAAGTTGTTCCAGTCCAACTGTGACTTTACTTTTGCTAGAGCAAAAGAAACTTGCCTAATGAGAACAGCATTTTTATGCTGATTGTTTTTTCACTGTTGGATATTTAAGATGATGAAAGCTTTGGGAGTAGTTTGAGAAGCCCACACTTTATAGGTAGTAAAACTGGCTGAGGTAGTTTCATATTCTGCAGGGACACTTGTCTTGAGTAATTGCACCCTGAAGTTCAAGTATGTGATTGTGAAGAGTCTCATGATAGAAGATAAGAGGGTAGGTGAGGAGGCTAAAGTTGATCGTGGTGTTCTTTTCATTAGGCATCTGAGAAACAGAATGACCATTTGGATATGGTATTGTTTATTTGGATATTCTTTGAATAACAGGTTGAGAGTGAATATCCCCTGATGTCATGCCTCATTTAAAAAAAAAAGTGGCTTCTAACAAAGTATAATGAAAATGTTGGGGTTCCAGTACTGTCATTGTACCATGATATGCCAGATAATATTGCCTTTCTGTTCTTATTTGGGTTCCTTTCTGTGTAGTCTCAATTAGTAAGCCACGTGAGTGCTGCAGCTAAAATTTTGACTTTGCAAAATTATTATTACCCGCCCCCCCCCGTCCCCCCCACACTCCTCTGTTGTGCACTGGATTTTTAAAGCAGCCTCCTTTTGTACAAGTGACCACGGGAAGCAAATATGAAATTAGTGGGATTAGCAGACAGGAGGCCAACTGGAGCTCTGCAGGCTTGTAAAAACTAAGGAAGACTCATTTCTGGTGGATACAGGATCAAACCAAGAATTTCATGTGGCCTTCATTTCCTCGCTCTGTGTCAGGGCTTCCCCTGAAACGCTGCACATCGATAGTGTAAATAGGCTGTACAGAAGCTGTTGTACTTTTAGTATACCATGTTAATAGGCTTTAAAATTTACTATGGTCAAATATCATTTATTCAGTTGTTTCAAAAAACAACATTAATCATGTTCTTCATATCAGTCAGAAAATATTTATGGAGTGCCTGATATGTGCAAGGTATTAGAAAGAGTACAAAGAAACCTAAAATATATGTAGCATCTTGAAGGAGTGTACAGTTTAGCTGATGACAAGTCCTGCACCTACAAAATTTTAAAATAGGCACTTGGATGCCTAATGCCAACGACGTGCAATAGGCTTTCAGAGAATGGGGTAGTGAGTGCCATTGGCTAAAGTATTTGAGACGGCTTCATGAAGAAGATGGAACCTAAAGGTTGAAGGGATTTGGATAGATAGGGAAGGAATGTGGGATGGGAAGAGCATTCTAAGAAGAGGGAAAAGTGAAGAAGGTGCAGAAGAAAGAGGAGTGAGAAGATGCTATTTGATTAGGGGTTGGGGGCAAGGAAGGCCTGGTAGAAATAAGTCCAACATTATGGAAGTCAAGAGTGCTTGTTAGGGAGTCAGGAGACTAGTGGAGAAACATTCCAGGCTTGGCTGTCCTAACTGGTTGAGTCACTTTGGGAAGTTACTTTCTAAAAGTATCATTTTCAAAATCCATTAGTTGAGAGGTTTAGGCTAGTTTTAGAGCAAAGGTACCCATGCTGGGTAGGAACACAGCTTTGCCAGGTGTTCAGAGGTTGTTTTAGAACAGAAAAATGTGATCTGCTCTCGAATAGTTTTGGAACTTGATGGACTAGACACAATTCAAGGGGTGACTTGTTAATGTCAGAATTAAGTCTTTTATTATGAGAATGCAAATTTTGAATATCAGAGAAGGTCATGTGATGTGCCTTATTTCCTAAATTTATTTGACCACAGGACACTTTTATTGTTGGCATTAAAATCCATAATCTGGTTTGGGAGATA